AACCCTGATGATGTCATAGTGATGTCACCAGGCTCATCATTATCTGGGTGTTTTTTGATGAAATGACCCCCTTTGCTTCGGTCTGTGCGACCTCGCTGACCGCACGCCATTTGTGTTTTTTTTTCTGTGCAGGTTGCTGCGTCGCCTCACCACGCTGCTCTCCCAGCAGGCATCACTCATGGCCTCCAACGAAGCCTTCAAGAAGCAGGCGGAGGGCGCCAGCGCCGCCGCCAAGAAATACATGGAGGACAACGAGCTGCTGCAAGAGGTGACGCACACGACACGTTTAGCTTTACAGCGTCTGAACTACATGTTCCTGTGACGGCGGAAAAAGTCAGTCAGAGTTTAAAGTTTCTCCCCGTTAGCGTGTGTGTGTGTGTGTGTGTGTAATTCTCATGGACTGCAGCACGCGCTCCTCAATTTAATAAAAACATTTAACATTGCAAAGACAACAAGTGGACTAAAAAATAAGGATGTGGAAATGATGAGCGAACTTCGGTTATCAGACGGCTGCTCAGAGCGCAGCAGTGGGTTAAATGTCTGACCGCAGTCAGTCTGTGAAGTTCGACGAGTCGAGGCGGAGCTGTCGCAGTTTCAAAAGTCAGGGGTCGCTGTCGGGACATGTAGCCGTGCTACCCTGTTGAGATCCAGGAGCAGGAGGACGGCGGAGTCTGCCAGGCTGCAGGCTGGACCCCCAGAATCCTGGGGGTCCACGATGAAAAGTGTTTCAATCATCTCGGCTCCCCTCGACCTAAAAGTGATGCCCGCTCGCTCTCTCTCTCTTAGAAAGGGCGCCAACAGTCACACGCTCACATGTGACGGCACCTCAGGAGCAGTTTGGTGTCTTGCAAAAGGACATGTGGACGTGCAGACCGGAGGAGCCGGGCAGTTACCCGCTGACCTTCTGATTCACGGGCGTGTCTCTGTACTGCGCCTCTGTGTCTCATTCACAATGTGCGCTCTCTCTCTGTGTGGTAATCTGACCTGGGTTTGTCCGGGTGACGAGACTTACTCCTCCTGCTAAAAGGAGAAACTGTCTCATCGGCATGTGACATGCACGCGCGCGCACACACGCACACTCACACTCACACGCACACTCACACACACACACACACACACACACACACGTTTGTTCCTCTATCCCTGTGGGGACGTGTCCGTCACATGATGCTGCCTCACCTTAACGAGCGACGGACGATTTAATCAGGCTGATATATCACCTGACACCGTGATTGGCTGTTGTAGCAGTAATCATGGGATTATACCCTAACCCTTACCAACAGCCTTGCACATCCTGCTCGACCCCTAACCTGACCCCTCAAACCAAGTCTCGACCCTCTCTACCCCCGAGGACCTTCAGTTCCCCTCCGCGATATAAGATCATGAAAACACTTCTCAGGAAACTGTTTACATGTCGTGTACTTCTTCAGGAAGTCTTGGCAGCAGCATGAAGGTCTCAGATTGTGAAAGACGTTGTCACAGCATCAGGATCTTATCTGACCTCAGGCATCCGTCTCAGTTTGAAAACACATCGCTAACTCAGAAGCCAGGAATTTAAAAACGGTTGAGAAACTGTTGTGTTTCTGATTGTGGTGAGTTTCAAGGGAGTGTCTTTTACGTTGTGTTGTTTCTGATGGGAGGATTTCACACGCTTAAACCAGGACTAACCGACACGCTGAGTAAACACTGTCCTGCGAACGCCTCACAGCAGCTGCTTTATCATTTATGTGATCATTTTTAAAACCGAAAGGAAAAGACTAAAAAACATTTAAAATACTTTGAGCTACACATTCTTCAGTCATTCCAGAGCTAGTCCAGACACAGTTTACTGGGCTTTCTCATTGATGAATGTGTCTGCTGGTTTGAGATTGTTTCATGTACTCCTCTGCATCTGATTGGCTCTCACCTTCTTCCACCAGTGAGTTTTGCTGAGTTTGGGGAAATGCACAGATAGAGATGCAGCTGACCAAAAACTGTGTGCTGCAATCTGGAGCCCTGTACATCTATAATGTAATCATCATATGAGGCATCTGTGCCTTATAACAGATAATATGAACATTTATATCTGATTGGACGACCCTGCTGTCCCCCTTATGTACATCAGTAAGGGTGGACTTCATATAAGAAACACGCTGAACATTAAAACCTTCATGAGAGTAGGATCACAGACTGACTACAGTTCCACGCGGGGGCGGAGCTAGACTCTCAGCACAGTGGGGGCGGAGCTTCATCGTGGGCCAGTCATATTAACCAAGTTTACGTGACCCCAGACTCGCTCTGAAAGTCCAGAGTCCGTCTGCTTCGCTGCTGCCGGAGCTGACTGCCCTCCTTTCTACAAAATGTTTGTTCTCACACCAGAAGCGCTGCAGTGCGTCCCAGAAGCGTCCCAGCGTCAAGCAGCACAGAGCAGATGAACCGGGCAGGAAGTCAGACACAGAAACGGCATAGAATTCGGTCAATTTTCCAAATAAAATGCCCGTTACAGACTTCCGATCGTTTAACAATAAACACAGTTAAATCAGACAAAAAAACAATTTAACTACGTAGCTACTTAATCATAGTAGAAGCACAAAAAGCAAGTACTAATCAACAAAATCTAAACATGTAGGCAAAACGCTCTTATTCTGAAATGCTCCCTGTGGTAGTTGCTAGATGCACCTGTCAAGACGAGAAACAAAAGCGATCCACAGGGAGCTTTAGAAGAATGTCGTAGAAGCACAAATAGGACAATTAAAAAGCAAGTCATTAACGTGGGGCAGGCTGCACGCTGTGCTGCTGAAACGCTTCTGAGAGGCTTCCAGTGGACTTTGACGCCGTAAATAAAACGCTGCGCACACGCAACCTACGCCCCTCCCTCAGAATTCCCATGATGCATGACAGTGATGGCAGTTTTGTTAAAATGTGCTAATAAGTTTGCCATTTGTTTGAAATACTTATGATTTATGTTTATTCTAGTGTGTTTGTTGGTAATTGTCTACCTTGTGGTGGTTTACCGTTGAAACCACGAATGAAGAGACTGTTTCATTTGATAAGAGCTGCTGAATTCCGTACCGCTGGTGTTTGTTCGTGTCCACAACAATCAATAGATATAAACTTCTTCTGGGTTGGCCGCCCCCATGCACCGTTGCTTCCTCCGCTTATGGTTCCACCTGTTAAGAACTTCTGATCTTTCTTAGATCTGAATTTCTAAAGTATCTTAGAAATAGAAGTCAGTAAACTTGAAGTGAAACAGTTCTTTCCAGGTTTCCTCTGCAGCACCTCAAAGACCCCTGCTGCTTCTTGGAAATGAGATTTATTGCAGGGCTGTTGCATTATACTGCATCACATTTAGCTGGCTGTACCTAATAAACTGTATCCCCACCATGGAGATTAGTCGGAGGACAAAAGCTGAACGCCGGCTGTGTGTGCTTGAATCTGAATCTGAGCCGGAGGCTATCAAATCTCACACACACGTTTGTTCCTCTATTCCCGCGGGGACTTCTCGTTGACATAAGGCATTCCCGACCCCCTTACACTGACCTTTACCATCACAGCTATATGTCTTACCCATAGCCTAAAGGCCAATTTATACTTCTGCAATGAGGCCACCAAGCATGGAGGCTGGCGGTGGGGTTTCTATGTTCCACTGTATTTACTTCTTACTCAGCTGATGTGTCCAGAAGCTAGAGTTAGTGACACATATCAGAGCTGAGTGATAAAGGGGTCAAGTTTGGACAAGGTGGACGGAGAGGCAAACCTGTAAATAGTGTCCCCATAATGAATCTGGGACAGAAAAGAGCCAGGAACCAAGCGTTGTTGTCTTGAAGGCATAAAGAAACAGGATTTTCACCTATACACAAAACCCAGTGTGAATTTTTATTTCAATATGGTATTTAAAATTTTGGCATCTTTGTTCGCCCAGGGGCAAAAATAATAACTTGAGTTTTGATTGACTTTAAAAGCCATTTCAGATCTGAACATGTTGCAGAGTATCAAGGCCATCTCTGCTGTGGGGACACAGGAGTCCAAAACTGTATCATCTGCATACAGATGATTCAGAATTTTAACTGGACACAAATAGGATTAATGTAAACTAGAAAAAGCAAGGGACCCAAAACCAATCCTGGTGGAACTCCCTTTGTTACAAAGACTGGATTAGATATGTCGTTGTCATGTTTGCCCATCTGTGTAACGGCGCCTGTGGGTCCGTCGTCATATCTAGCTGTTGTGAACTTTGTTCACAAAATAAATGGAAAAAAATTATTGGAGGGTTGCAGATTGATTTTCTGTTGATCAATGAATTAAATGTTGGTTTCAGCCAGAAATCCACTTTAACCTCTTAACATTCCAGCGCCCCCCCATGGGCCGTCAGGTCTTGGCGGCGGCTTTCGGTATGTGCACACAGCTGCTGTGTTAACTACATACTCACGTGATCCACCGCTTAAAATCTAAAATCCTTGTATTTCGACCAATGCAAACCATTTCAAGATACAGTCACCACAGCGGGTCCATTCAGTGCTTCTGTCAGACCAATCAGTGCAATCAAAATTGACACGACTCACCTATGAAGCCTCACAGTAACTTAATCCACCGATTGATTATATTCCAACAAAAACGGTCTCGTTACGTTGTCGAAGGTCCAGACGATCCAATCCAGTAAAAACGTTTAGTCCAAAACATGTTATTCCATCAGTAAATCCCCAGGGACGGCTGCCGCATCGCTTCATATTCACCGCTCGTATGTCATTATAACCGGAATAACTCCGATTTGAATGTAAACAACTACGACGGCTTGTATTCAAATTAGCTGCTGAACTCCTGACCTTTTTGTATGTAAAAGTATGTAAAACCGTGTTACGAAGCTTCACTGCAGCAGATTAACTCGCCTGCAGCTCAAATTGTTCGTTGGTTCGACTTGGATCTAGGTTTGATTTTTCTGAGCGCAGAGCTGTGGTCCTGTTTGTTGTATTTGTGAGAAGGTTGGATGGACCCTGATCAACATTCAGACAAATGTAAATGTACCCGAGTTAGCCACAGGCTAGTTTTCCCTTAGCCTGGTGCTGTTAGCATCCTGAAGCAATAAACTCAGGGCAGATAAAGACTCTGTGGTAGGAAGCAGTTCCAGCAGCAGGTTCTCTAAAAGCCGTCTCCTAATGTCTCCCTGACATCAGAGAGAGTTTGTGTTTGAAGATTTGAGAGAATTTGATGCTTTTATAAATAATTTTCTTTGTTTTGTGCTGCAACAAGTTTCTGAGGAGTCTAAAATGACTTTCTCCAACGCCATGATGTCGTGCATGTTTGTGCGTGTGATGGGAGTCTGTGTGGAGGTCGGAGGTCAGACGTGTGCGGCGGCAGACGACCTGCAGGAACACGTGACTCTGACGTGCATGTCTATTTTTAACAGGATGGTAAAATTGAAAGTGCTGACACAGTCACTCTGGGTGTCCCGACGTTGGTGTGTGTGTGTGGTCACGTGTTCCCGTGAGGGCTGATAACACGATCCTCCCTCTGGCGTCTTTCTCCTCATTTACATTTTAGTGGAGCTCATAAAAAGGGAACGGAGACAGATTTTGTGTATAAAAATATAAAATGTGGGAAATTGAGCGAATACACTCCCTGGCCACAACAAGTGGCCGCTGAGTATAGCTCAGCTGCTGGTCGTTTCTTGTCGCTTCCTGACGGTGAAGAAAATTTTCTTTTTCAGAAGCTTTAAAGCTTAAAAAGTGGTTTAAACTATTAAAGCACGTATCAAAGGTTTTGATTAACGTTCTGTCGACTGATTGAAACGAAGTGATGGTGAAACCCTTGTCTGTTTGTTTCAGACAGGTCAGAGTTCAACACCTGAGACAATCTAAAACGGATTAAAATAAAATATACACACACACGGTAGCTCCGCTTTAATCTTGAGAAGCTGCATTCTCTCTTCATTCAACTTGCACTGTAAATTTCCAGCTAAACTGAGGCGCGCGCACGCACGCACGTTTTGGTGCACGCCGTGCTGCCGACAGCTGCATGCATGTTGTGGTTCCTCCCGGGTCTATTTCAAGTAGCCGGCTGTTTTAAAAACGATCAAATATTCTTTGTGTGGTTCACCAACGGTGATAAATTATAACTTTAAAAACATTTATTGAAAGTTTTATTCTTTTTACATCTTTATTTACAGCATTAAATGTTGAAATGTAGATTGTAACAGGCTGTATATTAACTTATTGAGAGAAAACTGGTAGTTCTGTGTAAAATCAGACGTTGAGCAGCCCCATATCGCCAAAATGGCGTGATCCTTGTTTCACTGCGAAGCTTCGACTTTGAGATTGACAGTCGAATCAGGCTCCGCCCATCGAATCTTCGACTATCAGGGCTCAGCCCTAGTGTGTGCGTATGTACTTATGCAGCCGTCAGCCATGTTGATCAGAGCGCGCAGATCAACGAGCTGCTGTATAGACGTGTTCTGTCGATCACGTGACTCCACTATGTGCGGCTCAGAGTTTTTTAATGAAATGAGCACGTTGAGCTCTGAGTGTGTGAGAGGCGGTTGGGCTGGTTGAGGTTGTCGAGGTCTCGTGGCCTTTCTGAACCTGAGACCTGCTGCTGGATTCAGTTCAGGGCAGTAAAACCAGCTTTTATGGCCGAAGCTCCTGAAAGGTCTGAAGCTCGCAGCTGCTTCACTCCGTCACTCTGAACACGTTCAGCAGCCGGCTGCTTCAGCCAAATCTCTAACATTCACACCTGGGAGTACTTCTACTCAAGTTTACTGTACTGAAGTGCACTTTCTGAGGAACTTGTACTAGAGTACTTTATTTGGGACAAATTGTACTAATAACAGATTAATATTTATTATTAATAATAATAATCAGCCTTAATTGTCATTTACAGAAATACACAGTACAGCGCATGCAGAATCTGTCCTCTGCATTTAACCCAGCCTGCGTCTCCTCGCCGCGTTTCAGAGTGATCAGAAGAATCGCTCGCCGTGCACCTCACGTAGTTTTAGTCAACATAAACTGAAGAGGTTTTAGTTTTGAAAACTGAGCATTTAGTCTCCTCACTGTAAATACTTGATAAGGAAAATGTCCCCTGTTGTACTATCATATCATAAGGTTTTTATTACCTGTGCATTAATGACTGTTAAAGTAATTTAAAGGAAAAGCAGCTAATCTGGAATCAAATGTGTTTTAGAATTTTTTTTTTTTTAAAGTATAGAAAAATAAAATAAATAAATAAAGTTAACTAAAATCAGGAAAGGCTCCGCTAAAGTCTGTTTTTAGAAGGGACAGTTCACTGACTCAGCCGCCCTGGTTTCCTGACCACAGATGTACTGCAGTAGTAAAAAGAAAATGTGCCTACAGATTGTACTACTGTACTTAAGTAAATGTACTTAGTTACTGTGTTTTCACTGCTGTCGTCATCTGAATATGCAAACGATTCATTTACTGAGAGCTGTTAGTGACATAATCACAATAAAATATTCACAAGTTAGAAACGGAGCAGACTTTAGAAAACTGAACTGCATCACAGGAAGAAAGTGTGTGAAGCTGTGGAAACACACGAGGAGCATTAAAACAAGATAGATGAACCGTGTTTCTGTTGAATCCAGAGTGAACCCTGAATTTGTAAAACTCTGGGAGTTCCAGCATGAAGAGACAGAAAGTTTAAAGTCACTTTAAATAAAAAAAAAAAAGAAGCAGAAGTCAGGGCGACCGTGTGTGTGCGCCGTTTCTCACGTTTGTGTGTCATCTGCCAGCCAATCAGAAAGCAGCGTGAAATACTGACCCAGAGAGCAGCTGTCGCTCTGAGATGGGGGTGGGGGGTGTTTGGTATGAACACCTGTGGGTGTGTGAGTGGGCGGGTTCTAACCGAACGCCAAACAGAAACCAGCTTCCTTCTTTCCAGGGATTCTCTTCTTCCTCTGCAGCGTTTCTTTATTTGCTTCTTGATTCCTTATTTTTAAGAAGTCAAGCTGAGTTATCTGAACATTTTGAGCATTAAACAGCAGAGATGCTCAAACGTCTCTGAGCTAGAGTCCAAGTCTCAAGTCACTGTGTGCACGACTTAAGTCGGGCTCGAGTCCGAGTCTGAAACTGGAGGCCCCATCTCTGCATTCAGGTGAATCTTTCTGCTCCAGTTTCTGGTGGAAATGTTTTCATTTCTGTAAAGAGAAACTCTAACCAGTCAGAGCAGCTCTCAGATCTGTTTCTCCTGTAGATCATTTAATATCTGCTGAGTCTGGATTTAGCCTTCCCTCCTCTGTGTCTTTGTTTGGTGAAGTGACCTCTTTAATGTGCCTGTGGCTCCTTTTCACCTCACTGAGAAATGAATTCATGTGAATTCAGAAACTCCTGGACTTTAATAGCTCCTGTGCTTCAGCAGCTTTTCTGCTGTTAAGAATCTCTCCCACAAATGTGTTCTCCGACATGTTCAGAGAAAAGGCAGAATATCATCAGACTCACTTTTTATGAGATTTCATAATACTTACATACATATATACATATGTAGTCCACCTGCCCTGTACTCTGTTTCAGTTTCCAGACTGAAGGGGAAACTGCCAGCAGAGTTTTCCACAGGTTAACTTCAGCAGCAGAAATTCCCAACGCCTGTTTCTGTTCCTGGTTCTGTTTTGTTGTTAATCTGCTTGTACACTTTGTGTAGTTCAGTGTCTTTTTTGAGCATTGGATAGATGTTAGCAAAGAGTTAAAGATGCACTTCAGACAGAAGTGACCTGACTTTTTCCCTCAGGAGAAGGACCGTACACTCAGACGCCAGTTGAGACCAGTTGAAACTGTTGTAGAGATGCGTTGATTCAACCTTTGCAGGTTATTAAAATGTGGTGAGGAAATCTTAGAGATTAGAAAGTTGACCCCCGAACTGTTTTTCAGGCTAATTACTTAATCAGTGAATCAGTTCGTAAATAGTTTGAGTCTGTGGTGAAGCTGCAGCTCGGATGAACCTGGCACATATTTTCCTCCAGAATCCAGTCTGAGGGCGTTCTGCGGTCCATTCGACGCTACAACTTTAATCTCGTTTCTGTGGTGGTGAAACGTCACCAGCTCATGAAGGATTGCATTTCCTGTCTCAACAGAAACTCCGTGACGCCGGGCTGGAAGTGCCGGAGGGCGAGAAGAAGGGAGCGGGACCCCAGGAGCAGAACAAGACTCTGAAGGAGGAGGTGAAGACCCTGAAGGAGGAGCTGGAGGCCACCAAGAAAGGTGAGGAGGGAGAACAGTTTGTGTGGGGGGGGGACCCTCACGGCCAAATGGAGCTCCCTAACGTAGAGTTTAACTACAGCGGCCACCTTCCGGTCGAACAGGATCTGACGTTACAGTTGTGTTGTCTATCAGACAAGAGCATTTTTTATTAAAGACAGTAATAACTGTTGGGCTGCGTTGTTGACCTGTGATATCAGAATCAGCTTCATGTGCACGTACGAGGAACCTGACTCAGAATCGTACGTTGCTCACAATGTGCTCACTTACACAATAACACAGTGATAAAATCAGACCCAGGCTACAGTGTAGAGAACACAGTGCAGTGAGCCGAGTGCAGAGGATGCAGGAGTGAAGTATTATCACCATCATTATTATTATGTACAGGTGCACATACATGCACACATGGACACGCTGGAGTAAAGAAGTATTATGTGCAGTGTTATGGACGTGAGGTTTGGTATAATTGGCCCTTCGTGTGTGGCTTCAGGTGAGACCATGACTCGCCGTCTCACCTGTGTGTTTCCTGTGTTGCAGCTCTGCAGAAGTCGGACAGCGACGTTCGTGCGATGAAGAAACAGGCTGCGAATCTGACGGTGGAGTACGACAGGCTGCTGGACGAGCACAGCAAGCTGCTGGTAACACGCGCACACACCTGCGTAACGCCAGTCGCCGTGTCGTCATCAGGTTGGGATTTCAGCGTCAGAGGGTTAGGGGGTCAGAACATCATCAAATTATCATTAGGTGCGTTCAACTTCATGCGGCGCTGTGCGGCGCGGCGCTGACTTAACGTGATGCATGCTGGACTTAAAGCAAGGCATGCTGGTTAGAAATCGTGTCCGACTTTTGCCGGCGCTGCAAAATGTCACCATGTCACATGACATTACAACCTCGCAGGAGCAAGGAGTCCGGCGGCTGCAGGCACTTTTCCCCGACTGCGCTGAGCTGGAACCACATTATTGCCTGATCGGTCACTGATCTCAGCCGCTGCAGCTAGATTGTGCCCGACTTGACGCCGCTGTTTTTAGACCCCGCCCCTGCAGCTCACGTTAGACTATCAAGTCGGCAAAAGTCAGCTCCGCTATCAAAGTAGATATTTACGGTTAGCGGGGAGATTTGTCCGCCGGCTGCCGACCTCTGGTTTAGACGCTCACAGTGGGACACAAAGCATCTGACGTCTACAGCTGCAACGGTTAGTTGGTTGATCATTGGTCGACGCCAAAGTCTTCAGAGAGAGAGACCCCTGCTCCTCGCCGCCACCACAACATCTGAAACTGATGTCAGTAGAGCCTCACGATTGGCTGAAAAGGTTTCCTGGCCGGGCTGTTTAAAAAGCTTGGGCTGCGTTCGAAAAGTCTTTTTTGTTCAGGAAGGTTCTGACTGAGTGAAGTGACCCGGAAGTGTTTCAGCGGCAGCCGTGATGAGCGCTGGTCGAATTCTCTAAAAGCTGAGGAAAGGAGCCTCGATGCTTCCTTTCATATCTCCTTTAGTGTAGGGCACACCGGACCATCCTTTACCAAAGGAAAGGAGACAATGCTGACCCACAGTTCCTTGCGGTGGCAACCTTTAAAGCGAGGCACCGTTCTCAAACTCAAACCATAAAATTCATCAACCACATTTAGCAAAATCCTGCAACACAGATGCATCATGATACTTTAATAAGACTCAATTAGCTTCTTTCTCTTGGTTTGTTTTCTTTTGGCTTCTTTGTAATCTGATACTGTTTCAACACCGTTTATGTTTCGGGGTGTGGAAATAAGCCATTAAGTGTTTTCTACAATTAAAATAAATAAATCACCAACCATGACAGATAAAGGAGGTCGATCACCATTGGCTATTAAGCCTTTTGTCTCTTATGCCAAAACTTTCTAATATGCATCAGATATGTTAATCTGTCAACAAGAACTGATCCCATGCGAGCTGGAACTGGTCTTGTAACGTGATCAAAGTGAGGAGAATGTCGCAGCGTGTAGCCTCACGTTACCGCAGCCTTCAGCAAATTAATTTTACTTTAGTCACAGATGCCGACACCCTCGCCTTCATAAAAGCAAAGATCCAGCTGGACGTTTCCCACACACTGATTTATTTGTGTTGGCCTGTCACATTATCAACGCTGATTCTCCACTGATTTTACTATTTAATATGGTTAAAATCATATTTGACAGAGCGCTGCACAGTGCATATATTCTCTCAGCATCTCTCTCTCTCTCTCGCTGTCTCTCTGTCTCTCGCTGTCTCTCTCTCTGTCTGTCTGTCTCTCTCTCTCTCGCTGTCTCTCTCTCTCTCTCGCTGTCTCTCTGTCTCTCGCTGTCTCTCTGTCTCTCGCTGTCTCTCTCTCTCTCTGTCTCTCTCTCGCTGTCTCTCTGTCTCTCGCTGTCTCTCTGTCTCTCGCTGTTTCTCTCTCTCTCTCTCTCGCTGTTTCTCTCTCTCTGTCTGTCTCTCTCTCTGTCTGTCTGTCTGTCTCTCTCTCTCTCTCTGTCTCTTCTCTGTCTGTCTGTCTGTCTGTCTCTCTCTCTCTGTCTCTCTCTCTCTCTCTCGCTGTCTCTCTCTCTCTCTCGCTGTCTCTCTCTCGCTGTCTCTCTCTCTCTCTCGCTGTCTCTCTCTCTCTCGCTGTCTCTCTCTCGCTGTTTCTCTCTCTCTCTCGCTGTTTCTCTCT